CTTTCTGGGCCAGCCCCCCCGCCCGCCTTCCACACGCAGGCCAGGGACCGCCCATCCCGAGAGCAGAGCGTCACCTTTCCCCTCCTCTTGCAGGCCCCCAGCCTTGGCCATGTGCCACAGCCCAGCGGGGCGGGGGTACCTGACCCCACTGCATGGAGCCAGGGCAGTGTAGCCTCCCCGAAATGCCAGGCGCACACTCGGCGCGGCTACCCCCTGCGCTTGGGCTGTTTCCAGTGCACTAGCGCCGCCCGCTGGAATCCCGACCTCCCGACCTCCCGGCGGTGCAGACACACCCTCCCGTGCACCTCCCGGCGGTGCAGACACACCCTCCCGTGCACCTCCCGGCGGTGCAGACACACCCTCCCGTGCACCTCCCGGCGGTGCAGACACACCCTCCCGTGCACCTCCCGGAGGGAGCGCAGCCTCAAGGCAACAGAACCCACACAAGGGCATGTCTTGCCCAGCCACCCTCTTTCAGCAAAGCCCACTGCTATGCCATGAGCTTTTCCCCCACAGGCGTGAGTCTGAGACCCAAGTATCTGCCCCCAAGCAGGTCTCCACCTGACCCCTTCTGGCTTAATGCTCGCCGCAGGCCAGAGTGTGTCTTTTTCTCAAGCCAAACTAGGCAGCCTCTGACTGCACCTAGTGCGTCTGAAGGATCGACGAGCTAAAAAACCTTAGTAATTCCACCTCTCGTTTGTCATCAGCTGGACATCAGTAGGATATGGGGTCAGAGTTAAGGGTGTTTTGGGAACCTTTACTCCGAATTTCCAGACATTCAAATATGTGTGCTTTGAGAGCATTCTCTTACAGCAAAATTTCTCACTTTTCAAACATTTGGATTTTGATCACCACAACTATCAAACTATCTAGCCAGCTGTTTTCTGCAGTAGCTAATCCCTCTTTCCCACTGTCCCAAGTGTGCTGCCCACCAATAGATCCAAAGTTCGATTCTTTATAGCTGTTAAGCAATAACCATAAAACTAAACTGCAGCGTGTGAAATGAAACAACCAAATGCCCTGGCCATACCCGAAGCTGATCTTATGGGAGGTGATTACATTCCACAAGAGTTTTGTAAAGGAAAGTACATCTGACCATGCTGTCGCATCTCCCTTGCTTTCCCCAGTATATCTCCATGCCGGTGCTGTATGGTGTTTTTCTGTACATGGGTGTGGCCGCTCTTAGCAGTATCCAGGTGAGTACAGATCCACAACGGTCAATCCCCTTGACATTTCTGCACCTGTTCCTCCACGTTCTTCTCTGCGTGGGTTGAGTTCAGGGGCTGTAGCCTGGCTCCAGCCATGCGCTCTGGCCTGGGGGCTTAGTTATAAACTTGGTAGGGTCTGGGGGAGTGAGGGTGACACCCCAAATGTAGCGCACGGGCCATTCCAAGCGACTCCTGACAGATCCCCTCTCCCACCCCGGCGCGCTGTGGCCTTGTCCTGCCTGCGGCAGACACCTTCTTTTCAAGCATTTAGACCCTCATATTTCTTGCGACGATTTTCGAAGTCCTCTCCCCAGGAAAGGTGGGGGGTCGGGGTACGTCTGCGCAGCGAAATCCCACGGTATCTGGTCTCAGAGGCTGGTCAGCTGGCTCGGGCTCACGGGGTTGGCGGCCTGGGCTCAGAGCTGGGAGCAGGGTGGGCCTGAGGGCCTGGCTCCAGCCCGCGTGAAACATCCCCCCACCCGTCGGAGGCCCCGGGCACGAGTCCCAGGAGCCTGGCTGGGTGCCTGGGCTTTGGTTTGCCGTAGACATCCCCTGGGTTCCCGCGAGTCCATGTCCCCCACTGTGCAGGGCTCGGTAACCGGGGATACCAAATACAGGTCCCCGTGCCACCCAAGGGCTGGTCTCTCAGGGCTTGGCAGGCCACAAAAGC